AATGACTGCAGTTCTCTTCTGTGGGTTCCATTAACCTGCACAGTGCTGGTGGTGTTTCTTTTATTAGTGTTATATCTTTATTTATTCAGTATGCCCCTATGCTAGTGGAATTTTGTAGCATCATAATTTAACATTTTAACCCAAAATACAAAATCAAAGTAGGAGAGCAGGAGAAGGTATGAAAGTAGATATGTCAAGGAAGGAAAAAACACAGCTACATACTACATAGGACAGAAAATCAGAATAGAACCAGTCTCCACAGAAGGTCATCAAAGATCCAGAAGCAAAGGGACTTTCAAAGCCCAAACACACAAACATTAAAGGCCTAACCAGAACAAAAAGTGGAGAACTTTGTCAACTGGTATCCTGCAAATTAGTTGCCTGGATATCTGGCTTTGGGGCCACAGATGTTAGCGGCATTGCTAAACAATAATAAAACAGGTATTGCAAGTTATCTGGTGTGTGTGTGTGTGTGTGTGTGTGTGTGTGTGCAGGTACCAAGGCTTGAACTCAGATCTTTAGGTACTGCCTCTGAGATTTTCACTCAAGGATGTTTTCTACTACTTGATCCACACCCCACTTCTAGCTTTTTGTTGATTACCTGGGAATAAGTCACACAGACTTTCCTTCAGGGGCTTTGAATAATGACGCTCAGAACTCAACCTCCTGAATAATCAGGAGTACAAGCATGAGCCACTGGTGTCCTGCAATATTACTCATTATCTTTGTCAGTGTCAAGGCAGAGTTAAGACTGGGAAAGGGCTGAATGTTAACTACAGAACCAAGTGAGAAAACTCCACTGCAACCAGAAAGCTAAAGGCAAATTCATAAGTCAGAAAGAACTAGCAGCAGCTGGTTAGACCCAAATATATACAAAAAGGAAAAAGAGAAAGCTCCCTATTACAGTGTAGTGTTAAAAATAGATGACAAAATGCTTATTCTCTGAACAGGGAAGGAGTCTTAAAGGTTAGGTCAGCTCTCGCATACCAGTTTGCAGTTTTGTGTGTTGTGCAGTCTGCTTCCTCCTGCCGAAGACTCACCTTCTGATCTGTGGCACCCTAGAGGGTCACATGTGGACCACAGCCCCACTGCAGAGTCTGTGTGACTGGCAGAATAAAGGCATAAAATTCATATTCCTTGACTGAATGAGAATATTGGTGCATTTCCTTCAAATCCACGTTACAAGTGTCCAGAAGGCAAATGGAAACAGATGGTCAATGTCTAAATGTCACTAGGGAATAGATCCCAGATGTCCTTGCTGGCAGGTCAGGGCTATCTTCTGCCAATTTTCCTTCACTCTGTGATTTGCTACCCAGGAGTCTCGCCTGGGAAGCATGGCATGGCCTGAGAGCGGAGAGCAGGCTCCATGGCTGTGCGTCTCTCACGCTCCCAGGAGCTAAACCAAACCACCTCTGGCTCCTTTGTGAAATTCTACGATTGGATCAAATAATTTAGGTGGCTTCTTAGCTGAAAGGTGGACATAAAACTTTGTCCTGGGGTGGGGGGAAGGGGAAATCTCTGATAACAGTCTGGTTTTCGAAGTAAATAGTGAACTAAAACCTCTTAAGGTCTTTCATACCGCCATCCTATGAGCATGGGGTTGTGTTTTGAAATACTTGAACAATGTTTGAAAAATTGTTGCACACAGAAAAGCAACAATACACTTCATTTTAAAAAAAATCTAGCTGACTTTTCTTTGGAAAGCAGTATAGAACTTTCAGGACAATGTTCCAAAGGATTTCAATTCATATCTGAGTTTCGCCAACCAAGATTTTTTTGCCTATTTACAAAAAACAAATAAACAAAAAACCTAAACCTTACTTTTAGACAGGTCCATTTAAATTAAGAAGCCACTATTTGCCTTTTTATCTAAAAATAGCCTTTGCTATTTACTAAAATCAAGGTCGTACTTGAGAGGAAAAGTGTTCAGAACTTGCTGTTTCCACTTCAAATCAGCAAAATTCTGATTTATATCTGTGTCCAATGGAAACAATCTCGAACTTAATCTCTCCAGATTCAGCAGGACAAAGGCCAAAAGCAGCTGCTACAAAGTCATGGGGTGTGTGTGTGTGTGTGTGTGTGTGTGTTTGTGTGTGTGTGTGTGTGTGTGTGTGCGCGTGCGCGCGCATGCTAATTAGCACGCGATGGCTTGTGTTCCTCCCCTTGTCTTGCTGCTGTACCTCCACTGCTTTATAAATGCCCTGCAGGATTAACTGCTTCAAAATAGCCCTAAGTAAACACACCTCTGTCCAGCAGATTGAAACACATTTGCCTATAGGCCAGTCTTTTCCTTCTACAAAAACTAATTCTGAATCTCCTTCACGTACATACTGAATGCTTTTCTTTATTTTCTTCATCAAACTAACAATGAGGTCTCTATCTCTGATTCCTTCCCTTCCTGTTTGTGGTCATTACACAATGCCTGGTGCAGATGAGGCACCATTCAAATCGTCTAGGTCTGAAGGGCAATGATAACAAGTCCTGTGCTTTTACCAGAATTCCTAGAAATCCCAAGGAATGTTGAACAGTGTCTAGTGTCTTATAGGCTCATATATGTGATAATGCTGAATGACAGCTCCGTAATCTGGAGAAGGTTTTACAGTCTGCAACACACTAGTCTAGCATTTGACATTCCAATACATGTTGAGAGACAGATATTATTGTCCCCATTCAGGATGACACAGACATGCTAGAGAATTTGCCGTGCTCAAGATCACACAGCTGATGAAAAGCTCTGTGACTCAAATCTAATGATCTTAGTTCCTTAATTCAAAGCTTTTTTTGATGGAACCAAGGAAGAACATTCCTCTTTTACTTTTCAGTAAGTGAAGAAATGTAACAATGGTCTGTTTCTATTATAAAAACATAAATAAGCCAGGCACTGATGGCTCACACCTCTAATCCTAGCTACTCAGGAGGCTAAGATCTGAGGATCGTGGTTCAAAGCCAGCCCAGGAAGAAAAGTCCCCATGAGACTTTTATCTCCAATTAACCACTGAAAAACCAAAAGTGAAGCTGTGGCTTAACATGGTAGAGCACTAGCCTTGAGTACAAAAGCTCAGGGACAATGCTCAGGCCCTGAGTTCAAGCCCAACGACAGACTAAACAAAAAGTTTTTCCTTATCTCCATCTCCCTTTTTTTCATGCAGTGTGATTTTTACCAAAGAGTGAAGGTACAAATGCATACATAATCTTAACCTTTTCCACTCTGAAGACTGCCCAGGCACAGGGGACAAGTTTGTGCCACAACTCTGACACCTTTGTGCTGCTCTGAGGTTTCTTGTTTATTTGTTTGTTTGTCCGTCATGGGGCTTGAACTCTGGGCCTGGGAGCTGTCCCTGCGCTCTTCAGCTCAAGGTGAGCGCTCTACCACTTGAGCCACAGCACCACTTCCGGTTTTCTAGTGGTTTATTGGAGATAAAAGTCTCATAGACTTTCCTGTCCAAGCTGGTTTTGAACTGTGATCCTCAGAATACAGCCTCCTGAGTAGCTAGGATTATAGGCATGAGCCACCAGCACCCGGCTCTTAGGTGTTTTTGACCTGCCTCCTGTTTGGGACCTTTAGTGTCATAGTTTAGACCAGCCGACCTCATTCTTTCTATCAAGTTCCATGAGTGTATTTCCAGCAAGGATGCCTGTCTATGAGTCTATGTCTATGTCTGTTTCTATGCCTGGATTAACCTAGGTATCAGGAGTCTATTTCCTCTGTTTTCCTTTGTGGTAAACACGGAAGCTGATTCTTTGCTGAAAGGAGAGGAGGAACACGCGGAAATGCACTTTGTGAGGATGATGAGAGTTCAGTCTGAGCCAATCAGACCAAACACTGCAACTCCATCCAGGGAGCAACTCCAGAATCTCACCCTCCCATGCAGTCTCTGGAGGCCAAACTGTGTGAGTGTGAGAGACAGTGGGTGAGGGAGGGAGGGAGGAGGAAAACAAAGAAGGAAAGGAAAGCAAGGAAGCAAGGAAGCAAGAAAGGAAGCAAGGAAGGAAGGAAGGAAGCAAGGAAGGAAGCAAGGAAGGAAGGAAGGAAGGAAGGAAGGGAGGAAGCAAGAAAGGAAGGAAGGAAGGGAGGAAGGAAGGAAGGGAGGAAAGAAAGGAAGGGAGGGAAGGGAAGGAGGGAGAAAAGGGAGGGAGGGAGAGAGAATGTATATGTGTGTGTACATATCTGAGTATGTATGAGAGGGGGGGGAAGGAAAGAAGGAAGGAAGGGAAAAAGAGAAAGAATGTGTGCATGCGTGTGTGTGCATGTGTGTGTGTATGTGTAAAATTTACATTGAAGACCTTAGACTGGTGCTAAGGAAAGGCACATTTTGAGTATTCAAATGTCACAATAAAACATTATTTTGTACAGTAGATATACACTAATACAAAATGAGAGAAAAACTGTTCTGCTCATTTGAAAGCTAAAAAATAAGAACCTTAAAAAATACAGTTCTTTACAGAGGGAATTTCAAGAGGGAGGCATGAAGGGAGAAAGAAAAGGAGTATTTCTGTTGATTTAAGAAACCTCCCTTAACAAGTATACACCGATCTTTGATTCTTGGGGAGCAAACAGTGAAAGGTGTTCCTGGTGATGGACGATGCAGGTGCCTGTGTGGGCAGGGCAGTCAGGTACAAAGAGGAGCTCTTTTGTCTCTTTCTCCTGACTGCCATCCTCTTTCCTGAAGGCTGAAAAGCAGGATAAAAGAAGACTCCCGATCCCGTGGGATTCTCTGCTGGGAGAGGGAAGTCTGGCAATTTGCAAAGGTCGGAATAGAAAGCCTGTAGGGAGTGAGGAGCGGGGAGGGGAGGAAAGCAGAGGAAAGAAAATGCGCTCCTTCTCAAATTCTATTCCAGGAACATGCCTGCTTCTAGAGGCACCCCCTTTCTGCCGTAAAGCTCTCCCACTTCCAACGCCCCGAAACAGCCTTGCTCTCACGCTCTTAATCTGATTAGCCACATGCAGTTCACTCACCAGTGGCGGCTGCTTCGTTCTGCTTTCGGGTGACTGCTCCGGGTCATCTGTGCTCTACCACAAAGCTCATGGTGGTGCCATCGAAGGAAGGGGGCGCGATGATCCGTGGCCCCAGGGGCTGCGAAGTGATGCTGATGACAGGTTTGCCGTGCAGCTGGGCAAAGCCCTTGGCCCCCACGAGCTGGGATGTAGCTGCTGGGGTTGAGGAGGAAGAGGAGGCCGGAGACTGACCAGAGGCCATGAAATAGGGGGCCTCGGAGAACGTCGCAGCTGCCTCTTTGTTGGGGTGCTCCGTGGCCATGGAGAGCTCCCCGCTCCCTGGAGTGTGAGCAATCGGAGTGGGCTGCATGGCGTTGGTGGGCAGCACCGTGGGCAGAAAGCCAGGGTAGATCATATAGGTGGGTCCGTAGGCCCCAGGGCTCAGGGCCAGAGGGGGCACGGGGAGGGACATGGGGGCCACAGCCTGCTGCTGTGACGTCATGGGGACATCCACATACTGGCCTGTCTCAGGGTCGAACAACCTCCGGGTCATGGGCTGAATGGGGGTGTCCACCAGATAGTACTGGCCAGTGGTGACATCCAGCAGCATCTTACGCTGAGTCTGTGGTGGCTGTGGCTGCTGGAAGGGGTCGGCGGGGACTGCAGCGGGGCCTGTAGGTGCTGGGGCAGGCATGCCAGGTGGAGAGAAGCAAAGGACCTGTGGCTGGGCCCCCTGGAGGGTAAAGGGGAGCTGCTGCTGGTGGTAGATAGCAGTGGGGGGATGCTCGGGGCTTTGGGGCCCCGTGGGAGCAGCTACTGCCTCCCGGGCGGTGTCGGGTTTGGTACGCCAAGCTGGCCTGCTGGTTCCACTGACCTGAGACCCTTTGGGGGTGTTGGGGACCTGACTGCGGGCACTCAGGGGGGGTAAGCTGCACAGAGTGGCAGCCGAGGAGATGGGGGGCCCTTCTCTTGCAACCCCAGGCCTGCCCTGCAGTTCTCCCACAGCAGAGCTTCCTTTAAGAGGGATGGTAAGGTAATTCTCACAGTCACTGTTGCTCTTCTCCAAACCGAGGCCACTTTTCCTGGGGGTGGCCTCGTCGGGGGGTGCCCTGGTGGCAGGAGAAATCTTTAGGGAGCGCAGTCCCTGCGATTTGATGCCCTTAGCAGCTGGAGGGCTCTCCGGAGAAAGCCCCTGTGGGAACTTGCCTGCCACACCCCCAGTCTTCTGGGTGCTGCTGGCACTGACCGTGAACACGTTCCTGTTGCCAGGGAGGGGTGGGAGCGGCTGGAAGGGTGGGGCTCTGTCTGAGTCCTTGCGGACAGGGGGAATATAGAGGGATCGAGGTCTTTCCCTGGCCATGTTCTCGAAGGCAGCTGCCCGGGCAGACACGCTCTCGGTGCTGGGGTTGGAGTTCCTCCTCTGGAGACGTTCTAGGGGGGCTGCTCGCAGAACCACACCTCCTTTGCTGCCCGGGGGCCGTTCTTCCACATCAGCCAAGCGTTTGGCCAGCTTCTCCGGGTCTCCCTCGGGCCCTGCACCACCCTCTCTCTCCTCACTGGCAATGAGCGACAGGACGTGGCTGTCTACCATCACAGGCAAAGGGTCACTTTTGCGTTTCCACTCATTCCTGTTGAAGCTGTACAGCTCCTCCATGGACCTCACGGCAGCAGTCAGCTTTTCCAGAGCATTCCGCGCAGGCTTTGGGGTTTTCCCTTCCTCCTTGACATCCTCATCCTTGGGTTTTTCCGGGGTCTTCTGAGCAGAAGCCTTGGAGACAATCTTGAGCACAGGCAGATATGAGCCCTGCTCGGGTTTATTGGGGGCGATCGTGGCCACGGGCAATCTTCCAGATGCCCTGTGAACCAACACTGTCCCTTCAGGGGAAGAGGAATTCAGAACCCTGCTGCCGCCACCCCCTTTGCCCACGTTTTCCCTGGACTCCCGATCCATGCTGTCTTCTCTTTGGTTCACCACTGCCTGGCATGTAATCACCATAGGGGATAAAGATCTGGACCCGCTGGCTGAAGTAGCCAGTTGCCTGGGTTTAGGTCCCATCAGCCCCTGCTCTGGGGTCACGCTGCCCTTGTCACTGCTGTCCCCTGACCCTTTGATTAGTTTCCTGACATCTCTCACCTGGTGGAGTGGCCCTTGAGGCTTAGATTTCTCTCTGACATCTCTCACCTGGAACTGGGGCACTTTCTCCAGACTGTCCCCGCGGAAGAGTTTCTGCTGTGCTCTGCTGTTGTCCTCAATGGTCTTAAAGAGATTAGAGGCGGTGCCAGCGGCCAGTTTGGGTGTGAGCAGTTTGGCAATGTTGAAGTCAGAGCTGGGCTGTTGTACACTTCCCAGACGGATCTTGATTTCGGGAGCCTTGGGCCTGATCACCGCCGTGGAGGTGGCCTGGGCCGCACAATACTTGGTGGCTTGCTTTCCTGGCTGATTGTCTTTGGGAATCTGCTGGATGTTGGGGACAAACAGGCGAGACATGATGGTGGCCTTGCTGGCAGAGATCTCCCCGAGATCAGCCTTCCAGTCTCCCCCTTTAAGGAGCTTCAGCTTCCCGAGGGGTACCTGCTCTTCCTGTTTTTCAGCCTCTTTCTCCTTCCAAGAGCGGAAAGCACTGTTTTGGCTACGAAGGAAGATACCCTTCACGGTCTCCGATGCACTCTTTTTAATTTCACATACTTCTATGTGGCCATCTGGGAGATTCCGGCCAGAAGCTGCATTGCTCTCCCGAGGAGTGCTGGCTTTGAAAATGGGGGATTTAGAGCCAGCCACAGAGCCGGCCACAGATCCCTCTCCTCCTGCATCAGACACGCTGACCACCGTGTACTCAGAGCCGGCTTCGGAGAGGTGGGAATTCTGCCTCTGCAGACCCCGGTCCCGCTGCTTCTCAGCCCCTGCAGGACCCTCGGCGTCCCGGGAGGCAGCCGATGGGGGGTGATGGTGGGAGGTGTCTGTGACTTCTCCCCTCTCCATTTTGAACTCGTGTTCCCGCTGCATCTTCTTGGAAATGACATTTTTGAGCAGGCTGGATGCAAACTTGGACTTCTTCTGGGAACCATCGGCGGCCCGGGAGGCGGGCTTGGTGCTCTCGGAGGCCTCTGAGCTGTCATCCGTGCACACCGAGCCCGGACCCTTGGAGGGGCCTTTGGTGGCCTTGCAAGGTCCAGTCGCCGAGCTGGCTTTGCTGTCGCTGCGTAAATTCAGGGGCTCCAGGAGGGTGACAACGCGGGAGCCCGTCTGAATCTGTTTCTGGAAACACAAGGGTGTCTCCACATGTTTGATTTCCCCTTCGACTTTGCTGACCACGAACTCCAAGGCCTTGGTCTGGGACTTCTTGGACTGGATGTACAGCTGATCTGCCGTGCCCCTGGCCGGGCCACCCTTCCTCAGGCCTGCGGCCACCGAGGCCGCGCTGCTCCGCAGGAGGCTCTGCTCCACCCTAGCTCCCACACCTCCACATTTTAAGTCCAGGAAGGTGGACCAGCGTCCAAAGCCCACTTCGGAGAGGGTGGTGGAGGACTCTCGAGAGCTGATGTTTAGGGCTTCGAAGTAGGGATACGCGAGGCTCCGGAAAGCCCTGGAGGTCAGGTTCCGCACCTCTTTGTCTGCATCGTCCAGCTCGCTCACCACACTGGAGGCCCCGCTGGAGTAGTCCACCAGCTCCTTTGCCCGGATGGCCCCGCACCTGGTTTGCAGGCGCGCAGGGACAGCAATGAATTTCTTTGCATGGTCCTGAGCCACAGCTGCAGCCGAGGTGTGCTTCAGAGAACTTGAATTGGGTTCAGCAGCTGCAGAGACGCGGAGGCTCATGTCGCCTTCATGCTTGGCAGCGTAGAGAATGTGTTGCTTTGCATGCACGTTGCTAGGCTCATTTATAGTCCGGGAAGTTGGTTTGATTGATAGGAGGATCTGGCTTGCTGCACTCCCACAGCTCCTAGTGGTGGTGGCAGCAGTGGCTGCCGTGGTGGTGGTGGTGGTGGTAGTGGTGGTGGTGGTGGTGACGATGGTGGCGGTGGTGGCGGCTGCCACTGATCCTATCTCTCGGAGCTCCAGCAAGGGCTCAGAGCCAGGCCCCGTGAGCGGGGGAGTGGGGTCACTGTCAGAGGGGCCACCGCCCACCTCCGTGCTGCCGGTGTCGCGGTCACTGCTGCCTGCGTCGGGACGAGCCAGGTCACTGCTAGTTAGGCTGGGTGTCCGGGTGATAGTGGGGCTTGGACTGGTGCTAAGGTAGCAGCTGTTGTCATCGTCCTCTTCCGTGGGGGTGGTGACATCTCCTGGGGTCTCGTCACTGCCAACAAAGGAAGCATAGTCCACGAACGAGTAGATCACGTTGTCATCCTCGAAGTCCCACCGGGAGGCCAGCCCCACGTCGAAATCCATGTCCTGCTCCACCTCACTCAGCTGGATCTCGTGCGTGGTGATGTAGTGCGCCTCTTCATTCTTCGGGGGGACCCGGTGGCCCTGAGATTTGACAATCATGGCCCTGCACGCTGTTTCATCATCTCTCCCTTCTCCCTCTCCTTCTGCTCCTGCCCCTCCTTCTTCTCCCCTGGGCAGGCAGCTGGCTTCGGGCTCACTCTCAAAGCCTAAGGACGATGATGAGGTGGCCAGAGTCTCGGAGGATGGGGTGGAATCATCCATTTTGGGAACACCTTCATCCTCTGCTTTGCCCACCGGGGAGGAGGAGGAAGAGGAGCCGACGGTGGCCTCCTTGGGGAGGGAGAGCTGGGAGCTGTTGCCTCCAGAGGAGGCAGAGTTCTTCAGAGCACCACAGTCTCCCTCCCCACGGCTGGCCTCATCCGGGGTGTTTTTCTTCGGGCTCTTCTGATCCCCTAGACGGGACTCCAGTGTGAGTTTCTTGGCTGGGGGGCTCTCCCTCCTGACGGGTCCCAAAGCAGACATCTGCACGTATTTCGCTTCAGGCTGGGTGGAGGCTAAAGGCTTGGGGCTGGGCTGCAGCTGCTGCTGCTGCGGGCACTCCTGGCGGTCCTGAGCCCGGCTCTCCTCGTCCTCCACTTCCACCAGCGCGGCCTGCGAGGTCCGATCAGGAGTGGTGACTTCCATCCTGAGCCTTTGCCCCGGTTTCAGAGACAGCAAGAGGCGATGGTGAGTGCTAGAGCTGGTCTGGGTCCCTCTCGGGTCCTGGAGGGGCCACCAAGCTGCCCGAAGGAAGATCCCACGTGCCTGGGCTGGCCCCAAGGCTCTAGGTACCAAGTCTCTCAGTACTGACACCACTTTCAGGTGCTTCAGCCCCAGTGGCGGGGTCGTGGCAAGCCTGAGGGGGCTGGCAGGGGAGGGGGCAGCAGAGGTGGTTGGTGGCTGGGGGGCTGCTGCTCTGGCCGGGACTGTGGCCAGTGCAGAGAAGCTGAGCTGTCCTGTCCAGTTGTTCGCCTGGCGCCGCCGGTAGCTGAGGTTCTGAATGCCATGGACCACATAGGAAGAAGCATCTGTTGGTCGACCCCGAGTCTCCCCGAAATGAAAGGAAAGCATGTGCTATTTCTTGTGAAGCCTTGTCCCTTTTCTGGATGGGGCAAGAGAGGGTCACGTCATTCCGGAAATATTTTTAGTGTCCCTTTGCTGGTCGTATTGAAATCACAGGGTAGAAGCTCTAGAGAGAAGAGGTTGGGGGTGGCGGGGGCAGGTGGGCTCTAATTCAACTCAGCCAAATGTTCCATGTAATCTGTTACAGAGTCGTCTAGCAAGTGGATTCCTTAACTCCCTGTTATTCTTCTTTCCCAAGTCTGGGATTAAATGGGTATTTTTTGGCACCCCTTGTTCTTAAACCAAACTCAATTTTTGCACTGTACTTCCAACACAATTAAAGAGACTCTAGAAATACTTCAGAATCTCCCTTGTACATATGGCAGCTTTATATTTGCCTCACAATTCTGGTCACCAAAGTTTTCGTAAGAAAAAAAAAAAGAATGTTTCATCCTTCTTTCCCCAGAGTAAGACCTTGTGAAACATAATCTGTGTGTCTCAAAATAGGGAGACTCCCTTCTAGGGTCCTTATGGTGTTAACTCAAAGCATAAAAGGGCGATTTTCAAGGACCTAAAATAGTTAACTTTCAAAATAAATGTGCAATCATAATCGCTAAGAAAAGGGGAGGACTTCAGGCCAACATTGACACAACTTCAAATCCTGACAATATCTTACCAGTTTCAAAAAAAAAAAAATCCCTAACTATAAAAACCCACAGCAAGGCAATAAGCCCCCAATTAAATATAGCCTGAGCCCTAGTCTCACGATGTGATTATGCTGGCTGCAGTCCAGGCCTGCAGGGCACCAAATCAAAAAGCAGAAAAGAACAACGAATATGCTTACCCGAGTACAGTGCGGCTTGGAGGGAGGTTCAGAGAGGAAATCTGACCTGCTGGCACACCCCAGGGAAACACAGCCAAACCCCAGCTCACTGGCTCTGAGATCCCGCCATTCCACACAAGTCAAGGGCTGTGTGACAAGTTTGCCAGGCTACCCCAAATGAGGGGGGGGTCTTTGCTGGCCATCATCAGAGCAGTGCCCTGGGCACTACTGGTGGGAAACCATGACATGATTTTGGTGAGATCTGGACCTTGTCACCTGCCAAGCTCAATTCTCCCACTATACATAGTCTATGTGTCATTTATGCCGATTGAATAAAGCCCTATTTTAAACATTCACATTTGTGGGGGACAAAAATAACAGCATCAACCATCCTCTTCCAACGTGAATGCCTCCCCCACACTAAAAGACAAAACAAAAAAAAACCAAAAAACAAAACTTCCTTCCTCTGAATAGGCATGTGGGTAGGTAAGAAGTGGGAGCCCCTAACAACCAAGCTCTACCTTCTCTTGATTGGGACACAAACAGCCCAACCCTGCCATTCTCCCTAGGGCAACTCTCCCTGTCTACTGCCCTACCATTAAAAACACTACATAAGTCAGGCACTGGTGGCTTGCCCCTATAATCCTAGCTACTCAGGAGGCTGAGATCTGAGGATCTCAGTTCAAAGCCAACCTGGACAGGAAAGACCACGAGACTTTTCTCTCCATTAACCACCAAAAAGCTAGAAGTAGGGTTATGGCTCAAGTGGTAGAATGCTAGCATTGAGCAAAAACAAAAAGCTCAGGGATAGCACCCAGGCAAATAAGTTGAAGCCCCAGGACTGGCACAACAAAAAAAGAAGGAAAGAAAAATAGGACACCCATGGAGAGACACGAACTATTGACAGTGACAACATGGATGTCACATGAAGCCAATGAAGAGGGTGAAAAGACAAAGAAATAATCAGATATTCATTTCTTAATTACAATAATAATAATATCTAAGATATTTATAGTATGGTGCCAGGAACTACCTGAAGCACTTTAAAATGTGCATATATTTGTTTCGTTAATCCTGCCAAAACCCTGATGAGCTAGGCATAATTATCAGGTTGGTTTTACAGATGGGAAGGCACAGAGTGATTAAGAAATTATGGGTCAGAATTCAAACCCAAGGAGTCTAGCTCCAGAGCTCAGATCTTAACCATCAGGCTTAACCCACAGGGCCTCCAGATGAGCAACTGGAAAAAAACAACCATTAGGCAAATGACCACAAATAAAGCATATAACTGAGGGATTGTTTTTTTTCTTCACATAATCAGCCAGTATACATATCATGTACATAGAGATTAAGAAACATGATCCTACAAACAAAATGAAACAAAATATAATGGCTCCTTCAGGAAAGCTGAGTATTTTCAGCTTCCCATTTTAACTTCTGAGAGTCTGGTCGTGCCTTGGCTGGTAATCCTTGAAGACAGTGTTAAGTACTGTGAGGTACTGATGCTCTGGAGCTGAATGAGCTTCTACCCCTGGAGACAATTAGAATTGAAAGAGGAATTTTTTCCAGCCCTTTCCATATGGCCCTGTCTGTTGTGAGAACACAATAGAGTTCAACATTGTTTCTTCTTGAGCTTGGAAAATTAAGAAATTGGAAGGTCAGATGCCCTGGATTTAGGTTAAATCATAACTACTTAAATAAAGTTGTGGAAATTTTTCTCCAGAATCTGCTTCCCATAGCAAGAACAGTCCTCTTTTAAGCTCCCCAAGAAGCAAACAGGTACTTACCTCCAAAATCTGGGTGGTTCCTTTTCTTCTATCTACATAAATGTCAGGATAGGCAAGAACTTAAAGGGAAAATGTTCTCAAAGTTCGATCCTAACAGTTGGGTTTAACTCAAATCACAAGTCCTCTGAAAAATCTAATAAGTAGAAAATTTGGAGCAGGACAGACTATATCTGTTAAAAGAAAAAAAACCATAAATGGAAAACCATGAATGGACTTTTGGCTAATCTTGACAAAGAAAACAATTAAGAACTCCCAACTTGCCTTCTATCATTTCAGTGTTCTGAATCAGTTTATGTGGCTGTGCAAATGGAGGCTCTCGATTCTGCTTTCAGTCAGTGGGGGCCATGGAACATTTTATATCTTTATATGACTACAGTCATTTTTTTAAATGGATGAACTCAGTAATTGCCTACCTGATGTCAACTCTTGAGCAATTAACAATGACTAATGTCACCAGCCTGAACCTATGGTAAGCAGGCCCACTTGGTAGATCAGGCAAAGTATACTCAGTTAATAACTTTATATGGAAATTCAAAGAGGAACAAAAGAAATGACTCAGCATTATTATTTTTATCACTGTAGAGAAACTTTCTTAACATCCTCTGAAAGTCTTTGGAGATGGATCATCGTAGAGAAAACTTTAACATGATTAAGGAAACTAAGAATGAAGTCCAAATCATCTACCAGTGGGAAACAGGATTTGATTATATTTGGGGTCTTGGACAGTAACATAATATGAAAAACAAATATGTTATTTGAAAGAAAAGACTGAAGGTAAGCCACTTGACATGAAAAGATTAATTAAACTCAGACTCCAAGTGGGGGGGGGGGGCGGTCAAAGGATTTCACTCAGCTCATTCTCTCTTCCTCTAGGACACAAGGGAATGGTGATTTCTCTGATTGTCTTAAACTTGTATGAGATTTGCTTTGTTTTGTTTTGTTTTTACAAAAATTTGCACAGCTGTTCTTGCACCCTGATGGAATGGAATTATTTCTGCTAGACATCGCATAACATATAAGCCTATGAACAGCTTCTCCCTTTAATACCTGAAGTTCTGAAGGTACACATTATTTTCTTTGCTGAGAGTGTCAAAGAGGGTCTACTGATTTAATTGAGGCAAATTATAAAGTTCTGTTCATCAATCTTTTCAATCATGTCGCATAGAAGCAATTATTATTCCCATTTTAGTGATTCAGAATTGAAGCAGCATGAAAATGTGTCCCATATAGGATTTCTTGCAACTACTAAGAACTGGCTGAGGTTGTGTGAATAAGCCAAGCTCTGAGTGAGTCCAGCCCACGACCAGTTGCTAATCGAATACTGATGGTCTATGAGTGGAGGTCATAGGGTCAGGCTCACAGCTGGCCAATTAAATTCTTCTTCAGCCACAACCAGCTGCCTACACTACCCAGCTGTCACCATAGTATACAAAGAAACAAAGTGACAGGATCAGTATAAACTATCCATGTGAATAGAAAACTTATTCATCCATGAGGAATGAATAAGCAGAGCTATCTTCCTGAGCAAAGAAGACTACATTGTGATAAAAATCCTGCCACACACACTGTAGGTGCAACCTTTTAGGTATGCCCTTAGAACTTACAAGGATAGGAAAATCAATTCCCCACTCGAAATAAAAACCTTACTAATAAACACTGCAGTCTGCATACAGAGACCAGAAGTGGAACAAAGCACCTTTTTATTTGTCGTTTTTTAAGGTAAGTATAATGCCACAATGAATTCTTTGCTTTTTTAAGGAAACAGATGCCCATTTTTTTAAAAAAAAATACAGGTCCTGGGCTTGGAATCAGGGCCTGGGGCACTGTCTCTGAGCTTTTTTTGCTCAAGGCTAGTGTTCTACGCCTTCTGCCACAGACCCACTTCCAGCCTTTTGATGGTTAATTGGAGATAAGAGTCTGGAAGATTTTCCTGCTTTGGATGGCTTTGAACAGCGATCTTCAGCCTCTTGAGTGGCTAGGATTATAGGTAGACGCCACCAGGGACAAGGTAACCTCTGATTTTTTTTTAAGGATTCATATTTGTCTCCTTTGTTCTCTGGTCACTTAGATGGCAAACTTTGAGCAATATGGGGACAAACACTGCTTTGGTGTCAGGAAAAATGATTGTAGCTCTCCTTACTACTCATAGCAGTATCATTTTGAGTAAGTCTTTTAATTTCCAACTTTCCAGTTTCCATATTGATCCATAAGGAGGCTGAGCTAAAAGCCTTTCTGTTAACTTCATTACTAGTTGTCTTTGCTTCAACTTTAAGCTAAATGGGCCTAATTTATGGAAAGTTTATAGAAAAAAAAGGTTTTTTTTTCTAAAATAAGATTCTGGTTTCTATTATAAAAGAAAAAATACATGGCCTGGTGCCAGCCAGAAACGATGAATAAAC